CTGAACCGGCTGCCTCGAGGTCGGCTGACTCCGCTGCGTCGATCAGCTCGCCTAGCTTCGGTGTCAGAAGCAGGTTTTCGGCATCAGACAAGAAGTGGTTCGACGGAGGGGTCACCAGACGGGTCTCGCCAGGTAGAAACGCTTCGCTTGTATCGAACAGGTCGTCCGGGAAGCCTACGTCATCGTCGCTTACGCCTTTGAGAATGCTCTCGACCGCCGAATCAAGTTCCAACTCCATCCGCTAAGACGGTAACCGATTTCAAAACGGATCATAACATCGTTCACCGCGGAAGGCGAGCTCAGCTTCGACTGATTAGCAAGACCGAACCTCAAAGCAATCAGGACGGTGTATGACAACGGAAAGTCCAATAGCATTTTCCTCAAAGCGATTGAGGCATGATCCTCTGCTACCTCAGGATATACGCTTATTGCGTTTGCATTCAAAGCCACAGACGACAGCTCAGTTTCCTATAATGTTCGCAGGAATAAAACTAAAAAGCTTTTTCAGACAATGTGTAACATCTTAGCTTACTAAGCAGTTTACATAATCATTGTTATTTTCAGCAAATCACAACTACTACGACCCTTTCTCCACTGCTACATGTACTAAAAGACCACTAAGGGTATGGGTACATCATATAGACGCTAGAGAAGACTTACTTACGAGGCGGCCTATTAGCAAAGCCACAAGACGCCCAACGACAGATCGTTGACCGGGTGGCTCGGTTATATAGAAGGTATGGCACTGCTGCACTTGGCATCCGTTTGGTAGCAGGCGAGGATCACTAGAAAAGCCTCCTAAGGCAACTGTCCCCATGCCTTGAAATAAATGGCGGGCTTTGAAATAAATGAAACAGATCGCTCTGCAATACTGACCAGCCTGAAAAAGGGAAGATGATTTTTTTGGTGCGAAAGCAAGGTGTCTTCCATTCGACCTAACATTAAGATCCAGCAGCCTAAGACAGTTTGTGTTATACATGGTTACTTCTTTATTTATCGAAGGCTGAAATAGTCAATCATTTTTACGGTAGTGAGAAATTTAATACAGTACGACCAAGTATCTTTCCGGCTGAATTACGAGGATCATTTCACCCATACCAGAAAGTTGGACTCCTCATAACTGAACTTGGCACTCAAAGTTTGCACGGATGTTGACTAGTAAGAAACGATTGAATAGTACTATTTCCAAACGGCGTATCCCAGCAGCCCTAGTAAGAGGAGGGGGATTGGAACGATCTTCAATGAGAAATCTGAATCTTTATGAGAAAATGGCTCGTCTATACCGATAATGGCCACTAAATGGTTTCCAGCAGTTCGACACTTGGCAGTTTTTTACA